TGTCTGTGTGTAACCATCTTAAGTATGTGTGCTGGGGCTGGGAGACCAAGCGGGCATAGCTTCTTGATGTGGTGATCAATGTTTCTGCAAAGAATGGGTCAATAAACCATTAGATTTCTCCCTAAAGACATCCTGCCAACAGAACTTCATTAGACACACACACATACAGCCGCAGAGACAAACAAAAATATGGACCAGCACATGCATCTCGGGCTCCTTGTTCACAGGCTTGAGGAGCAATGCACTCAATTGTAAGGTTTGTATAATCACAAACCACTACAAAATAGTGAATTCTTTATTTTATTGTGGGGTAAACAGAAATAATTGACATTCCAATCTTGGAAATGGAGGAGGTGAGTGAGCGTCTCTCTTCAGACTGGATGAATGACAAAAATATGTATCAATTGCAAAACCTATTAAAGAAGAAATATAATGTATTAATTCTGGCTTATTCAAAATGATGTTTTACTTTGTCATTTTATGTTTTAGAATGTGACATAGTTTATAATGACGTAGAAAATATATGGAAATACAAGTATCAAGGTTAAACACTTAAATAGGCCTGTGATATCTCCATGCTACAACCAAAGGCAGGGGTACAATTTGTTTTATTTATTGCAAATTTTAAGATTCTAATTTCACCTACGATATTGCCAAAACTAGTTTATGGGAAAATTCTCTGAGCGTAGTAGTGGCACAATGACTTCATCAGAGGACTGAGAGAGGAGATATTGGAGAGTAGGTGGAGTAACGCTTTTGCCAGAATTTTCTCAAAATAGCGTGGATGGATGTAAAACCAACTCCAAGTCTGTTTTTGATGAACAACGTTGTGACATGGTTAACAGCTCAAAGAAGTTAGTTTGCATGATATGTCTATTAGGAGTGTGACGATATATCAATATATCGAGATACTTTCTCACGCGATCTATTGTCGATATGCTTTTGCCAAGTATCGATTATTTTCTTATTCATTTTTATTAGTTTCAATACTGAATATATGGCCACATTACGCATCTGCATTCCATTTATCATTAAATAAAGTGCATTTTCTTTTATTTATGCCAATATGTGCTGTATTTTAATCCAGAATTGCTTCATGTTTATTCAGATTGCTTTACTAAAAGATTTCTAAAAACAGTATATTTCTGACCAATATATCGGTAATCGTCATATTGGGATATAATCGTTATTGTGAGCTTTGTAACGCGTATTGTGAGGTACCCTGAAGTTCCCACCCCTAATGTCTATGGTAAAAACTTTACCAAACTGAGAATGTGGCGCATATACTCGTGAGAAAATAGTTCTAACCGACTCATTCACATACATTACCCTGACGAAGCGTTTATATTTGTATTTAAAGTCACTGTTCAAGTAAACCCTGACAAGCCATTAGTCCTGACATCAAACTGCAGTGGCTCTTCTCTGACCCACGTCTTACGTCTGTCTCTCTGTCCCGCTTTTATCTCCCCTCACAGCCTCCTTTCCTCTCAGCGTTCATTAAAACCTGCAGGCTGAGTGTGTGGGTGAATGGGCTTCAGGTCTCAGTATTAATTAAAGGTGTGAATGGTAATTGGTCGGATCAATAATTGGTCGTTAGGCCTCAGCGGCTGACAGCCAATAGAAAATCATTAAATGTCTAACATCACTGTCACTCCACTAAACTTGGGACACATCAGACCTATAGCGCAAAAGTCCAGCTATAGTGAGAGCGGTGAAGAGACTTTAAGACACGTTTAAGTGTATATAACATTAGCTTTCTAAAGAAAATACAGGAGATTTTGTACAATTTTCCTCTTGATGTGTTTGGGGATGTGTGACCTGAGTAATGATTATTGTATGCAAAGTTTTGTTGTAATGTGGGGTCTCTTCTCTCGGATCAGAAGAGACAAAAAAATCTGCACCAGAACTTGCTGCTATAAAGACTAAAGCCTAGTGTATACTTGCGCGGCACTGCTTACGTTAGCGGTTGCCGTGGACCTACGCAAGCACAATTTAATTTATACTCCTTGCGGAGTTTTGAGGAGAATGTTGTAATCGCACAACCAACCACACGATGCGATCTCACAGGAGTTGCTTGAGATACCAAAGCGGTCTCATTTACGCTGCTACTTTCTCCTCTTCAGAACAAAACACGAACAAACCGAGCTGTTTGAGATCATTACATGTTTCTACTGTAGGTTTATGTGAAAGTTCTATGGACTTATTATTTCTTAACTCATTTAACTGTGATGTTGTGAATAAAGACACAGTTCTTGTTGGAAACATAGTTGTTATTAAATTGTATTCAGCACAAACAGCAAAACAATGAAAGTGGTAAATATCTGATGCAAACATGAACAATTTATAAGTGCAGGAGGTGT